TAATTTTACGACGTTGTGCTTTCGATCCTTTTACGATGAATAACAGCGTGTGCATAAAAACAAATATAAATAATAAGCATCGGCTTGGGTCGGATATTGCAAAGTAACTCGTGAAATTGCATGGTTCTCGAAACAAAACGAGTATAAAAACACATTCACCGAGGCCAATTAGCGAATGGGAACAAACACTAGAGAGCGCGAACAATCGCTTGCGAACGGTTTTCAGGTAAACGAGCATTCAAAACAACATCTGCTAATGAAATGAACATTGAAATTTTCACGCTCGCGTCGACGTACGTGTGCGTATAAACTAGTTGATTAAGACGTTAGCAAGGACTTGATATTCAATAGGAGTACGAATACGAAGTCTTCGAATCCGACGATTCGACGTCCGCCCGGTCGAATAGGAAAATTGTGAAATATTTTTATCGAATCCGTACATTATTAAAGACGCGACGCATTTAAAATTTTCTCGCTAAATTACCGAGAAGTTTTAATTGCTACGCTCGGGAGCACGCCAATTGAATTGTCATTCCACGTACAAGTTGCTGTAACGCGTTTGAATTAATTCTTTAACGACCGGTCGCGACTCGTTAAAGCTCGGACAAAGATAAAACGTTATTGTTTTGCGTTTCGTTTCCCGCGATTTCATCGCGCGAATCGAAAACCGTGAAAGAAACGTTATAAGTATGTTTATTTAATTTCTTTACCCGGGTATAAATTGCCGGAGAACATTGTGCGCGTCGACCGGCCGGGTCTCAATGGGGAAAATAATATAAAAATGCATATACCGTCGCTACCGTATCGACGACTCGATACGATTCGCAATAAAATGAACGGGAGACGTTTCGTTGTTCCCTTTCGACTATTTTTGTTTGTATTTCCCTTTTCTCTCCTCCGCTGCGAAAGAATTCGCGTGACTACAAAAGCAAACATTCGTTTCCAATATCTGTATGTTTCGTCGGAAGGGTTTCCTTTTCGAAACAGTGGATCGATCCGCGCGTTGGACGTTCCGCGTATCTACGGTCTCCTCCGCTCGAGAAACCGGGTTCACGATCGTTGAATTCCTTCTAAACGACAGCATTCGAGAAACTCACTTAACACGCCAGAAATCATAAATCCAAAAATATTTTCGAATCGTTGGTCACTGAAAATTCTTGGTATTTACGAACCGTTCGAACGATTTCTTCTTCTAACAATAAGTAGTAATATTTGAGAAACTTGACGCGCTAAAAATCATGAATCCAAGAATATTAATCGTTGGTCACTGTAAATCCTTGGTATTTACGAACCGTTTGAGCAATTTTCTTTCTTCGAGTTTTATTGATCGCGACCGATGCCTCGCGAATTCGGCGATCTTGTTTTTAAATTATCGTTCGTCGACAACATATTTGGATTTGCGACACCAGTTTCAACATATTACTCTAAGCGTAACATATCCATCTTACTAATAGCGCCATGGTCAGACTACACGTAATTCGAGGTAGCCGGCGTCGGTCTCCCCCTCCCTTGTTTCGTACATGGACGTGTATATGTACATATGTACGGTTATACATAAGGTACATACGTGGCCTATCTACCTTGAATAGAACCAAGGGGATGAGCCTAGGTAGTAACATCGAGTGTAATACCGAAACTACATAACCCATCCAAGCCGGCTGACTTGGCCGACAATCGCTATTTAGGTGGGCCGCTTATCTCAGCCAGTCTTAGCTGTGCTAATGTCTCGTGGCCGAATCTACTCCTGCACGTAGATACAATAACGTGCACGGGAGAGTCTAGATAGAGACGGTCGCTAACAAGACACCGCAGTTAGGGAGGGAAGAAAGGAAATTAAAGCGACGAGAGTCGAAAATAGTCGGCGATAGAGGCAGAAGCGTGGGAAACGAGATAAGAGAGATCGCGGTTTAAATTAACAACGAGATACCAAGGAAGCCGGATTACATTTTAGGAGAAGAAACGAACGAGGAAGATAGCAGATAAACTTGAATGTCAACCCTCGTGCGCTGTGGGTACAATTGTAGACAAATTTATGGAGTTCTTCGAGCGTTCCACGAACTCGGATTTGGATAAAAACTGTTGCTTTTTAGAGATAACGAAGGTGGCTCGTAGAGATTCATCGAGGTTTCCGACAAAAGAACGTTGCCACGTGTTATTTGCACGTCTACAATGCCAAGAGTGAAGAAGCAAGGAAATCGAGATACCAGGGAGTGACGAATGTTTGTTAAGAAACCTGCAAGATATAGTAACATTGATGGTTGTGAAGGAAGACAATGAAGAAACGGGAAGAAGAAACCTTGGGAGAGTAATGAATAAGAGATTAAGTCGGTAAAATGGGCGAGCCAAACGGGGAAGAGTAACGAGATAAGAATAACAGGTGCAAAGAAAAACGGGAAGAAAAGGAGAAACCGACGGTAGGACCTCCCTTGGACGATTCGTGAACTACGTTAAAGATTCCCCCAGCGGCGAAGGAGGATTCGCGAAGCGTTCGTGAATGTTTAGGATAACTGCCGTCATTAACGTTGCTCCGGCTTATCTAAGGTACGAGCAGGGATTAAGCCGCGCAAGAACGAAGAGATCGTATCTGGCGTCATCCAGGAACAGGTCGCTGGAAATCTCGGAATTAGCATAATTATCATAACGGTAAAACCGTTCGGGTAAAGTATCGCAAGCCGGGGGCACCGGTGTCGCATCGATGGTTCCGAGTTATTAAAGATAATTCCGAGCTGGAGTCCCGGTTTATTGGAAAATGTCGGTACCAATTACCGTGGTATACGGCAAATATGAATATTACAGAGACTTAGGAAATTGCGTGTTATACGTAACGGTCCATTGCGAGGGTATTAATAATTTTGTTATTTGAAATAATAGGGAGTTGCTAACGAAAATGTTATACCATCGAGGAAGACGAGTCACGTGTTCGTTAATGCGTAGGAAAATTATCTTTCGAGAATTTCCAAGCTAAAATTAATTCGAAAGTCATTGAGATTGTTGAATTCGTTTTTTCATTAGCCGTGACGATAGGAAGTAAAAAATACATGCTATTTAAAACAGTCAAGGTGACTCGTCTTATCGAATGAAACAGTTTTTCGACATTTTTATTACTCCACTTTGTTCTCGTCGAGGTACTTGTTCACTTTTATTTCAAACATTTTTTCGTCGGATTAGTGTAAATGACTCAAAAATCGACTGTTAGGATGAACCCCCTGTGAAGCGTCAAAGTAAACGACGAAATAAATATGGAAGACAGCGTAAATTATAATAGTTGTTACACTCAGGAGATAGAGGATGAAAAGCCCTTTAAAATGAGCGTTCGAACAAGTCGATAGCTTTATTAGTTACGAAGATATAGCGATTTTTGTTTCAAGTCGATGCGGTGGCTAGTTACGGAGATATAAGGGTCCGAAGCGTTTGTTTACATTCTTACTACTGCCTCGTTAAGGCCGTTGACCGCACGTGCTCAGAGAAACTAGATCACTGGGCCACGAGAGTCACGAGTCACGTACGAGAAAGAGAGGTCCGGAGCGACGCGTCAGACGAAGACAGAGATAGACAAATTAGAAAAATTACCCCTTTACATAAATTACGATATCTCGAAAACGGTAAGTCGGATCGCCAAAAACCAAAAACCATTTTAAAGGGGAAGGTTCACCGCTTCTAACGATGGCTCAGTTATGGATAAAACATGAGCAATTTCGGAACTGCACGCGCCCAAAGTTTTCATATTTTTAATACGCGTTACTAGACTGTTTATTGAAATATTACGAACAGTAAGTAAATTACTGGGATAATTTAATTCACAACAATTCTATTAAATGTTTTTGACGTCGCCGACGATGATTATTTCATGAAATTTTTTTTACTTTGATAGTCTGTTAGCCTCTATTTAACAAGACTAACACGATTTCCATTAAGCCGGTTAAATGAGCTGTCGAAATTTGGATATACAGTCAACGAGAACTAATCGGCTTTGTGGATGCGGACTGGACAGAAAATACAATCGATAGGCATTCGAACGGTACTTTTATATACCAATTTCTCGGGGCAGCAGTAAGTTGCAGCCGCAAGAAACAAACTAGCGTTGTAATTGCAAGATTATTTTATAGCTAGAAGACAAAACTAGTTAAAAAAACTACTTATATTCCATTCAGAATCATAGTATATTTGCTGGTAATATTCGTGTTATTTAACACTCTGACTAACACTCTGACAAAATTTTCCAACTATAGAATTAAAACAATTTATTCTAAAATTGAAATTGAAATGTTAAATAAATTTGTATAGGACGAAGTTTAACGTGGTTACGAAAATAAGTACCGAAGACAAATTTTAAGTTATGCAGTTTACAGTTGTTTAAAATCCAAGTTGTCGTCTCGTAAAAAGTTGTACGGTTTTGATGTGGCAGTCAACGTGTTAAACAGCAAAGATTTCAAGGTACTCTAATTTCAGTGGGTCATCCTGTATTACCGCTGGAAGGGCGTAAACGTCGACTGTGAAATTCGTGGTCCCTCGTTCAAATGACACGCCTGGAGTATCATCGCCAGAGGGACCATTTAATCGCATTTGACGCTACGAGCGATGGTTCTCGTCGTTTTCGTCGTCGAAATTGTAATCGACGGTTCCGTTCGCCCGGCAAAAAGTTTAAACACGATCACAAACCGTTCCAGTTGTGACTTACAACGAAATTGATTACTAAAACAATCTGCAGGGAGGAGGGGGGGCGATTGGAAAACTAGTGATTTTACGCGAAAAAACAAATCGAAAATCTGCGACAAAATTGTTTCTAGGCGACATTGTTTCGGTGGAAATAGATTTTCAAAATGCTCCGACTACGGGCGATATTTAATTTTAAAATATTTTTCAAAGATATCCTTCGTGATATTCTCTATTTAATTGCTAACACAGCGAACGAGACGTTTTTTTTAAATTTTTTTAGAACTGCTGATCGTAGTTCGGCACGACAAAATCAGTAAAATATTATAATTTTTCTGTAATTACAGATGGGAAATTTCATCTGCTGCCTACCGGTGAACTCCTGGTCCACAGTCTGGAGTTCAGCGACCAGATACACGGTTACAGGTGCCGAACGATGCATCGTCTCACCAGACAGGTCGTCGTAAGCTCCGTGGCGAACGTCAGGATAGCGGGTGGGTTTCGCGGTGAGATCGCGTTTTTTGCAATTACACGCGGCGTTAATCGACTTCTTCCGACCTTTTTGCAGATCACAGAGGGGTAATGCCACCGGTGATTCTTGAAAATTCTGGCGTGGTTCACGTCGCCCAAGACGAATCAACGTCGTTGGTCTGCGTGGCGCAGGCCTGTCCCACTCCCGAATATCGGTGAGTTTCCATCTCGAAGATTGATTAAAGAAATCTCGTCCAATAGCCAGGGTCACGAGCTGCCCGAGATAGCTCCACTTTTGTTCGCGAAATCGATTAATTGACTGTGCAAATATAAATTAATGCAATTACAATAATATCAGCGATAATTAATCGCGCGATCGAAACCCGATGCGCCGTTTGTTTCTCGAATTTAATGTTGCCATTATTGCAAACCGCACCGAACGAATTTAATGACGTGTTAGCAAATCGCCGATGCAACGATCGAAATCGACCCGTCTAGAATTCTAAAAAAATTTATCTCCCATCGTTCGTCGACTATTTCGCGTTAACGAGTGCACAATATTCGTGAAAAGATAAGGTAATGGTAATTTTCTTAACCGTCTTATAGTCGAGCGTGGGATCATACGCTCACGGCGTGGCAAAAACTTTTAAGCGCACCATCTATCGTTACGCTATTTAAACCAATTTGCATAATTTTCTATGTCTCGGAAACTCGCGATAATACTTGCTCGAAACTTTCGTCGTACATTTTCGAGGAATTTATTTGTCGTGTACCGAATTAGACTTTATTCGGTTTTCGTAATTTCCGGGTTTTATCCGGTAGCTGTACATTGTAGCGATTTTTTGATTTTATTCAATTTCTCGTTTAGTTTGCAATTTAATTTAAAAAATTGATTATTTAATTTGATATAAAGCATTTTGACAATTTATAATCGCTACATGGAGAATGCAGGCCCCGAGATAAAATTGTTAAACGTCGAAATCGAATTTAAATACTATTTTCGGAGAAAGATCCGCCCGAGTGCAACATGTGTCCTATCAGAAAATGATTTTGACTCCTCGCCAACGGCGCTGTTTCGCTGGCAGAATCATTTATCAGAGGGCCACGTCCGCAAACCGCACTTTACAGAACCTGGACAGTGGAAATCTCGAGGATCTTTATCGTCCAGCGAACAGTCGCTCGTCCTAACTTCCTCGAAAACTTTCGTATCACCTAAACGCTCCTAAACTCGTATTAAAATCCACTACTTTCACCATTTATTTTCCAACGAGGGTTTCAAGCGGTACTTTGAAAGGAGATAAAATTTGCTAAAAATAATTTCGTAGGCGGATGATCGCTTTTAACGAGATTTTCGAAATTCCCAAATGTCGCACGATGCCTCGATAATATTGTCTCAAAGGTGTGCCGTGCACGAAACATCGCGCTGCGTCTTTGTACCTTTGAAGCGTACGTTCCAGATACATTTCGCATCTATCGTCTCGCGCGCGAAGAGCAGCTTGCGTCAGCTCTCGGCGCTTTTGGGACGCTCGGGAAGACGATAAAAGGAGAACGCGAGAAAACACGAGAAAAAGCAGAGCGCGTTTTCCTCTAATCTGTCGTTTCTTCTTTCGGGGAGGGGTTGGGAAAAAAAAAGAAACGACGAAAAAATTACGACCGTTTCTTGGAGGGGGTGCGGATGGGGGACTTGAAAAGGGAGACAGAAAGGAGGGAAAAGAGCCAAAGGAAGATTGAAGACGGGAATATTCGAGGTAGACGGTAAGTGAAGGAATAAGGACTGGGCGCGACTTTGATCGAGGAAAAGTGGGAGCACTCGAACGTGAAACCTCGCGAGCGGTGCACAATCGGAAACTCTCCATGTCGGTCGAGGTCTACGAGGAGCCTTCTACTCCGGACCCTCTTTTTCTCCTGGGATTTCCGGATCCCCTTTTTCCCAGTGGCCGCCTATCTATGTATATGCGCTAGACAAGAAACAGAAAGGATAAAAATTTATTGGCAATATCGGTGACCAAGGCGACGTACGGGTCACAGTGTGTCGCGTAAATGGGAATTCAGAACAAAAATCATACCTTCTAAACTAGTCAATTTTCGACCTAAGACCTCTTACACTTCTTCGAAGACAATAGAAAGATGCATCAAGTGATGCACAAAAATTATACATTTTTGTTAAAAAAAATTGAATCGACCTTGATTTTTTATTGCATAAAAATTGTTTCGCTAATTTTTACTATTGCAATTTCTTGTCAAGCGATTGTTGTGTAAATTTTGTTCGAAAAGTTTTTTGATTGGCTTAGAGGAAGTGCCTGAAGTATCGTAACGATCATTTCCAGTATATGGGTATTCGAGAAGAAAATCATAACTTTGCATCTGTCTAATGTTTTTCCTTTATTCCTTTTTGATTAAAATATGAAATAGATACAGATACAATTTCTTATCTTGTAAATAAATAGAAGAACATTTTTTTATTAGATTGATTCCGATTCTGATTCGGAGCAGGTATCAGTAATTGCAATAATGATTTTGATCATTTTCTCTGTTTCGGGCAAATTCGAGCAGCTAAAATTAGCGTTGAATTAAAGTTTAATGTGCCCTAAATTAATATGCGACAAATCATGGAGGTATTTTTTGGTATTTTTTTTTAAACTCAATTCAAAGTTGATAAACGTTTAACGTAAAAAATTGGGATCAATTGTTAATATTGTAAAAAGATTGTTTAGCAGTTCGGAAGGTACTATAATAGTGTACACAACTTGCAAAAATCAAATTAAAAACACAAATTTTCGGTAAATGGCATATGTTTACATCATTTTCCACAAACAAATTGGTAAATTCAGTAAAACTTATGGATAGTGCTGAAATCTACGTTCCTTTATTAACATTTTGGAATATAAGAGTTTATAAAACATGGACTTTAGTTTGTTAACTTTTGCCCATTGCTGGACACACTGTGCGGTGGTACAAAACGCTTATCGCGAGACCTTTAGAAATTAGCCGCGAATTCGAACGTATGGATTTTAAAAATACACGATTTATAGAACAACATTGTTTGTGGCAATTTGGTAGAAATTGGCTATTTTCGATCTGGCTGACAGTGAATGAATTTTACGTTTTACAGAATTTATTCTAAAAAGTCTTAGGATGAGGATAGATGATAATGCATTAGAAAAATAATCGATAAACCGTAGAATTGTTAGGATAATTCATTCAACAAGTTTACATTCTTATCCACTTTTAGTTTTCATATTCACGATAACAAACGATATTGGAACGAAATATTTCTTAAAAGAGGTAATATTGATATTACATATAGCTTCGATGGTAAATAATAATTATTACGTGGCCAGAGAGAAAAGTTTCAGGACAAATCGAACAGTTCACTTTTAATTCCCATGTTCACGGCAACAAACAATATTCGAACGAAATGTTTTTAAACGAGACGATAACAATATTACAAAATTTAAATTTCAATATATTTGAAAGCATTTAACATTCAGTGGTGCAAAACGAAGATCGGTCGAGTGCATTATCATAGATGATAATGCATTTGAAAAATAATCGATAAAACGTGGAATTGTTAGGATAATTAATTCAACAAGTTTACATTCATATCCACTTTTAGTCTTCATATTCACGATAACAAACGATATTGGAACGAAATATTTCTTAAAAGAGGTAATATTGATATTACATATAGCTTCGATGGTAAATAATAATTATTACGTGGCCAGAGAGAAAAGTTTCAGGACAAATCGAACAGTTCACTTTTAATTCCCATGTTCACGGCAACAAACAATATTCGAACGAAATGTTTTTAAAAGAGACGATAACAATATTACAAAATTTGAATTTCAATATATTTGAATGCATTTAACATTCAGTGGTGCAAAACGAAGATCGGTCGAGTGCATTATCATAGATGATAATGCATTTGAAAAATAATCGATAAACCGTGGAATTGTTAGGATAATTAATTCAACAAGTTTACATTCATATCCACTTTTAGTCTTCATATTCACGATAACAAACGATATTGGAACGAAATATTTCTTAAAAGAGGTAATATTGATATTACATATAGCTTCGATGGTAAATAATAATTATTACGTGGCCGGAGAGAAAAGTTTCAGGACAAATCGAACAGTTCACTTTTAATTCCCATGTTTACGGCAACGAACAATATTCGAACGAAATGTTTTTAAAAGAGACGATAACAATATTACAAAATTTGAATTTCAATATATTTGAAAGCATTTAACATTCAGTGGTGCAAAACGAAGATCGGTCGAGTGCATTATCATAGATGATAATGCATTTGAAAAATAATCGATAAAACGTGGAATTGTTAGGATAATTAATTCAACAAGTTTACATTCATATCCACTTTTAGTCTTCATATTCACGATAACAAACGATATTGGAACGAAATATTTCTTAAAAGAGGTAATATTGATATTACATATAGCTTCGATGGTAAATAATAATTATTACGTGGCCAGAGAGAAAAGTTTCAGGACAAATCGAACAGTTCACTTTTAATTCCCATGTTCACGGCAACAAACAATATTCGAACGAAATGTTTGTTAAAAGAGGCGATAACAATATTACAAAATTTGAATTTCAATATATTTGAAAGCATTTAACATTCAGTGGTGCAAAACGAAGATCGGTCGAGTGCATTATCATAGATGATAATGCATTTGAAAAATAATCGATAAACCGTGGAATTGTTAGGATAATTAATTCAACAAGTTTACATTCATATCCACTTTTAGTCTTCATATTCACGATAACAAACGATATTGGAACGAAATATTTCTTAAAAGAGGTAATATTGATATTACATATAGCTTCGATGGTAAATAATAATTATTACGTGTCCGGAGAGAAAAGTTTCAAGGCAAATCGAACAGTTCACTTTTAATTCCCATATTCACGACAACAAACAATATTCGAACGAAATGTTTGTTAAAAAAGGCGATAACAATATTACAAAATTTGAATTTCAATATATTTGAAAGCACTTAACATTCAGTGATGCAAAACAAAGATCGGTCGCGTGCACCAGAAAAAAAGTTTCCATCGTAACAAATAATTATTACGTGGCCAGGTAGAAAAGTTTCAAGGCAAATCGAACAGTTCACTTTTAATTCCCATATTCACGACAACAAACAATATTCGAACGAAATGTTTGTTAAAAAAGGCGATAACAATATTACAAAATTTGAATTTTAATATATTTGAAGGCATTTAACATTCAGTGGTGCAAAACAAAGATCGGTCGAGTGCGCCAGAAAAATAATAATTATTACGTGGCCAAAGTAAAAAAGTTTCATGGGTATCGTTACTTTGGGTATCTGTTCGAGGCCATGTGGCCCCTAAAATAATTATTTCCCATAACGGGCGATGAAAGGGTCGTTAGTGGGAGCGATGTCAAACGGATTAGAACGCTTCGGATCAATCGTTGCAAGAGAAACTGCACGCCGATTCAGGCGGCAAACTCGGTCTAGTTAGCTGGTAATTTAGATCGTGTACAAATCGAAGCCATCGTACGTGATTGCCGCGAAATTGATGGCATAACGAGCAGCTTTGCTCGATAGAAGGACCCCCTTCGATCGCTGGAATCCTCCTCGAGTACGAAAAGTTTCGATCGCTCGTGCGGATCACGAACGAACTTCGAACCGGTTCGAAGAGTGGTTACCCCCGTAATTCGAATATAATTTTTCGCGACAACTTCGGGGCGTCGTGGTTCGAAGCAACGACGAGAATGGAAGAGGAGACGAAGAGGATGGGGGGAAAGCCCCCCGTATAAAAGAGGGGGAAAAGAAACGGAGATCCGTCCGAAGCGGTTCGAGGACCGAAGTCGGACCGAAGGCTGTCAAGAAGTCGGTGGGAAGAGGCAAAAGAAAGCGGGGAATCTCGGGGATAAATGCTCGCGGTGGATGCGACTCGATGTCGTTTCTAGGTCGGCGTACCCGAAAGCCAGTGAAATTGAAGCTACCCCTCCGCGTCCCGGACTGCCTCTCCGCCCGCTTTGCCTTTCGATGAAAAATTATTCCTCGTCGGGGCACCCACGATAGTGCTCTCCGGGTAAATTGGGATAGCTGACGCGGCCGACGAACACGGAAACGCGCGAACTTTATCGAGACAACGGGAATTATTTCAAAACCTGGGAGACGGGAGACCCACAGCGTCGCGATTAGAGGTACCAGCCGGACAAAACTGTTCTTTTATGCGCGTCGATACATATTTTTTGTTTTATTCGGTATTCGACCCTTTGCACTATTTTCACGAGTCTGACTCGTGATGAAAATTTTAGGCCAAACTTGTATATCACGAGTCAGGCTCGTTGTTCAATTTCACGTCAAACATGAAAATCACGAGTCGAACTCATAAATATCGATATTCCGTCGATCGACATATCGTGTTTCAAGTTCCGATCATTCGGGCGTATGGGTATTCTTATGGTATTCTTCCGAATTTCAGAGTAGTGCAAGGGGTTAATATCTGTTTTTTTCTTTTATGAAAACTTTAAAATACGTTTTAAACAAAAAGAGCAGAGTAGTAACGTCGTAAATTAGTCTTCACGGCTTGTGAAACTAAATTCTTCGTGAATAATTGAAACAGTCAGCTCGAGATCACAGCGATCTTGTCATCGATGGAACAGTGAAAGTCCTCTAGCTTCGATCTTCGTCTCTTCTTGAATCATTTCAACTGCGCCAAATCTCTTTGAGCTTCGTTCTCGTCCTAGAGACGATGAAAATATCACGGATGGCCAAACCAAGAAAATGGGAAGAGCTTTCATCTTCCCTGGAACGAAGACAAAGCTCAAAGGGTCGAAATTTGGCACAGTTGAAGAAACTCAGAGAGAGACGAGGACTGGTACTGAGCAACGCGTGGACAGAAGACTTTCTGAAAACGATCCAACGTAGAATCGTTGAATCAGCTTCCTACGAGACTACTTAAAAATAGAATGGTGGAAAATTTCTTAACGATATACGAGATAAGAAATCATCTCTCTTCGTAAGAAATTTAAACTTAAGAAATAGAATAACGTATAAACAAATTTTCATTCGTTGCTAAACAGTGTAAGAAAAGAAATAAACGCTGAAAGATGAACTAAAAATCGTACGATGACTGTGATTTATTTTTTCGAATAATTCCAAGTAGTATTTGTATCGATAGAAAGCAATCTAGAAAGAAATCTAATTAATAAAAACTGAAAGGATAAAAGGAGGGTCGAAACAATCTCTGAGAAAGGTCATTGAAATGGATCAGAGGCAGCGACCTGAACATCGTTTACCGGACCATTGATTATTTTGTACGAGAAACAATTCTTTTAGCGCGCGGATGTTCTCTGCGACAAGAAACGAAGGAACTGTTTCTACGAATAGAACGGATAGTGAGACTTTCATGCCCGAGAAATAAATGGTCGAATTTTGTCTAATTTTCAGATGGTACGCACAAACTGGTTCCGAGCCAATGCTGGTACTCTCCGGACCAAGAACCAGATTGCTCGGTTCCGTCCTGGCCCTCGAAGCTGTGACGTTAGAAGATAGTGGAATTTATCGTTGCTCCGCGGCTAATCCCGGAGGCGAAGCCAGCGCCGAAATTCGGTAAAAATTAATTGCATGCACTTTTAAATAAAGATTACACAACGTGAAAGTCTTTATAAAAAAACCTTCGTTTCGTTTTGAATAAAATACCCTACGACAGTATCGTTCGCGAAATTATATGTTTCGTCCCTTGACAGAAGATAGTTTTAATTTATTTTAATTAAGTTTACGGAGGGGTGCGTAGCATAATACCCGAATGTAACTTTGGAGCTGAATTCAGCACAGAAGAGTAATAAGGAAAGTTTATGCAAACGTTTCTCCCATCTGACCTCCTTCCTAAATTATACAGCTGTTTTTATATCGAAGTTGTTTGCCCGTGTCGGTGTACACTATTGTTAGAAATTTTCAACGTGTATTTTCCTTACCGGTAATAAAGAGACAAGTGAACCGAAAATTGCTGTTACTCCGTTGTGCTTAAAAAAAAGTTGTCAATTTTCAAAAATTTCATTTCGGTCCGGACAAACAATCGCGAAACAATAAAGAGCTGGTTTTCTATAGTCTCGCTACGCCTTTTCAAACATTTCTGATTTAATTAAATACTTTAACCGTGGAGGAATAAAATATTAATACGGAATCGAGGCGCTCGGCTACTCGCAAATAAACAAAATAAACGTCAGTTTTCGCGCGAACAAACTTCAACGTTTCTATGTTTCGTTCAAAATTGTAGTTATTTGAAACTCGTAAATTATATTCTGAAAAGTATTGTTCTGTATGGGCATTGATGACTAAATTGAAAGGTAAATATCAGTAAACACAAATTTTTAATTCAACTAACGTGGGATATAAGATAATTAAAAAATATACAGGGTGTTCGGCCACCTCTAGCAAAAATTTTAATGAGCGATAGTAGAGGCCAAAATAAGACGAAAATCAAGAATACTAATTTGTTGATGGAAGCTTCGTTAAAAAGTTATTAACAATTAAATTCAAAAATTTCAAATCGTTCTGGAAAAATTATTTTCGGTTGCGGGGGTCAACTACAATCATTTTTGGTGAGTACACATACCTCCGAAATCCTATCTACTTTCGAGAAAAAAAATCGAGTAGGTGCTGAAATTTTTCGGCGAAAAAAAATTTTTCAAATCGTTTTAAAAAAATTATTTTCGGTTGCGGGGATCAATTACAATCATTTTTTATCATTACACATACCTCCGAAATCGTACGCACTTTCGAGAAAAAAATTCCTTACTGAAAATCCAATTAGGTGCCTAAATTTTTCAACGGAGAAAAAAAATTGCAAATCGTTGTGGAAAAATTATTTTCGGTTGCGGGGGTCAATTACAATCAGTTTTTGTCATTAGACATACCCACGAAATCCTGCCCACTTTCGAGAAAAAAAATAGAGAATGTGTGAAATTATTCGAGAAAATTAAAAAATTGCAAATCGTTGTGGAAAAATTATTTTCGGTTGTAGGGTTCAATTACAGTCATTTTTGGTGAATAGACATACCCCCGAAATCTTGCGCATTTTCGAGAAAAAAATTCAGTAAGAGCGACACTTTAAACGTTAATAACTTTTTAACGAAGCTTCCACCAACAAATTAGTATTCTTGATTTTCGTCTTATTTTGGACTCTACTATCGCTCATTAAAATTTTTGCTAGAGGTGGCCGAACACCCTGTATACAAGGCGTTCGGCCACCCTTGGGAAAAATTTTAATGGGCGATTCTAAAGGCCAGAATAAGATGAAAATCAAGAATACCGATTTGTTGATTGAGGCTTTGTTAAAAAGTTATTAACAAAATTATTAATAAAATTTTTTTTCTCACAAGTGCGTAGGATTTTGAGGGTATGTCTATTTACCAAAAATGCTTGTAATTGCCCCCTGCAACTGAAAATAATTTTTCCAAGACGATTCGAAATTCTTTTTTTCACCCAAAACTTTCAGCACTTACTCGAATTTTTTTCTCGAAACTACGTAGGATTCCGTGGATATGTCTATTCACCAAGAATGATTGTAATTGGCCCACGCAACTGAAAATAATTTTTCCAGACTGATTTGAAATTTTTTAATTTCGCCGAAAAAATTTCTGGTCGTTATGGAACATTAAACGTTAATAAGTTTTCAAGGAAGCCTCGATCAAAAAATTGGTGTTCTTGATTTTCGTCTTATTTTGGTCTCTAAAATCTCCCATTAATATTTTTCCCAGGGGTGGCCGAACACCCTGCATAATAAGTATTCTACTTTAGACACAGTGATCTATAAAGGGTTAAAATCTTAGAGACTCTTTATACAAGATGAATCGCTAGATATTGCCACCTCGATTTCCTAACGATATTGCAATTAAAATATCTTCAAAATATTTTTTTATTCTGACACAATAGATGAATGGTGCGATAAAAAAATATACGATCTGTTTGAAATTGGGGACTGTGATTTTGAGGATGTCGGTTAGGTGGATGGGTTCGCAAAAAATGAGTATGGTGCAAAATGTTGAACAAGGTCTTTAATTTGCAATTATTAACACGACGTTCAAATATAATCGACTCGTGAGAAATGAGCGGCTATTATGAGATCTTTAAGGAAATTATGATATCATTGATCGCCATTTCCTGATGAGTGTGAGAGATGAGAATAACTAATTTTATATGTTGGACAAATACATAACGCGTAAGCCTTTGAGCGTAAGCATTAATTAAAGAGTGCGAGTGAATTGCATGAAACAAGATCAAAGAACTTGAGAACAGAACAAACTTTAAAGCACACTTGTATAGAATTTCACGATCGCTGTTAGAACAAGACCGTGACAATGGCCGCGCTCTTGGTCACCACGAGGTTTTGACCGGCAGGCAAATGGAGGATCGGTGCGCGCGCATATCAATTATGTGCAAATGCCCAAAATCGGTTTTGGGCGCATCGCGCAGTGAGCGGGGCCAGCTATACTTCTCGAGCATAAAGCGTGCTCGAAAGGTGCTGCTGATGAGCGTCGTGGTGGCCAGAGAATGAGTTAATTCTTGAACACGATCCTATTTAAAAAAAAAATATTGATAACCCTCGTATGGGAACCATTCGATACGAAACATTTTTCGCAATGATAGCAATTACAAGTAGTAATAATATCTATTGACCGATCCTCTATATTTTATTCCCAAACTATTCTTCCGAAAGAGTCAGTAATATCGTACACGAGGATCGTTACGTTCGTTTGAGGAGAATCAGTTTGGTTACATGGACACTGAATTATTATAATAAAGTCAGCAGTAACGTCTTTGAACGGTCTTCGGGTAAGATCGGATAGGGACAAGTGTTTCCGCGAACCTTTTCGGTGTGCTGAACTCAACCCCGGAAATTAAGCTCCCGTTTCACGAGAGTCCCTGCACATTTCCCGGTCCGGGCTCGAGGTACATATAAAGGAACGTGTTCTTCAGGCTCATCGTTACTGCTCCGTTGCACGTGGAAGTGACCCCGCCGTTGCTCAGCGTCCATTTGGGCGGTAATGCCGAATTTAGATGCGAGGTCAGCACGCATCCGCAAGCAGGACCTCACTTTGTTACTTGGTACAAGGACGGTCGGCAGCTGCCGGGAACTGGTAGACAATCGGAATTATTGAGGCTCAACGGTATTGGCAGAGAAGATCGTGGAATGTACCAGTGTATAGTCAGACGGGCGGAAGGCGACACTGCACAATCCGCCGCCGAACTTCAATTGGGCGGTAAGCCAGATACGTTTCATCTTAGACTAGAAAACTAGATCGATTTTATTTAATATCTATTCGATAAGAATTTGTTTAATACCCCGTAAGAATTCTATCGCGATTGATACAAAATTACACGAGTCCTGTAACATTCAAACTTACGAGCCACGTTTTCATGCATTCAATTCTATATAGTATTTTTTTTTTTTTAAATTATTTTGCACTTTAATGCAATAGCTAACTAGTTACTTTGTCTCTGTGTGAATTATTTTTACCAAATTGGTAAATGGAAATCGACTTTCCTTTAACCCCTTGACATGCGACTTACAAGGAACCATCGCGAACGGTCCGGCTTCGATTTTAATGAAACTTTGTACACTTATAAAGCAGCCAAAAATAATCGACACGTATTTTTTTTTAGCTGCGGTAACTCGAGTTTAAGGGGTGAAACCACCCCTTGAAGTTTTGGCTCGAAACGGCTATCTCGAAAACGGAAAGACATACAAAAAAATTGTTAATGGGCGAGGTTGATGGTTTCTTATGTACAATAACATGGTATTAAAAAATTTAAAAAAATACAATTTGTTTATAACAAAAAAAAATTTATTAACTTAATTTTTCATTTTATTGAAATTTTCATAATGACAAAAAATGACGAGCATTTTATTCCAAATCCATTGGTATGCGATTTTTTAAAATTGCCTCCTACAGTTTTCAAGATTTTGATGATTTACATCTTGCGCGCACATCCATTATGGTAGTAGCCGTTCTAACTTTGATTTTAATGAAGCACTGTAGGCTTGCACTACTTCTAGAGGACAAAATCGGGAAAAATACAAGAATACCAATTTGTTGATGGAGGCTTCGTTAAGAAATTATTAACGTTTAAAGTTCCGCCCGTACTGAATTTTTTTCTCCGAAATGCCCAAGATTTCGGGGGAATGTGTAATGACCAAAAATGATTGTAATCGACCCCTGCAACCGAAAATAATTTTTTCAGAATGGTTTGAAATTTTTTAATTTTGTTAAAAAATTTCACACATTCTCGAATTTTTTTCTCAAAAGTGCGTAGGATTTCGGGGGTATATATATTGACCAAAAATGATTGAAATTGACTCCCGCAACTGAAAATAATTTTTTTAGAACGATTTGAAATTTTTTTTTTTCGCTGAATAATTTAGGCACCGACGCCCTGTCGATTTTTCTTAAAAATTCGGTTTTCATTTTTAATAATTTTGTTTGACGCCCTACAAAAAAGTTGGCCAATACTTTTTTGTAGGTACCTATGAACTCTACTTCAGAAAAAAGTTTCATTGAAATATATTCACTATTGTAGGAATTATGGCTGTTTGAAGATTGGACCATTTTTATGGGGTTTTTCTCATTTTGCGGGGTCAAGGATCAACTTTTTGCATATTTTTGCGATTTCTACGTATTCTTGATTAAAATACGCGTCGTTTGCATTTTTGAAAATTAAAATCCTTCAATCCGTTCAGAAGTTATGACATTTTAAAGATCCGCATTTTTCGGACAACATTTCTGGCCATAAATTACATTTTCGATTAGGAATTTTTTTCTCGAAAGTTCGTAGGATTTCGTGGGTATATGTATTGACCAAAAATGATTGTAATTGGCCCCCGCAACCGAAAATAATTTTTTCCTGGAGGATTTGAAATTTTTTAATTTAATTTCTTAATAACTTTTTAACGAAGGCTCAATCAACAAATTGATATTCTTGATTTTCGTCTTATTTTGGCCTCTAGAATCTCCCATTAAAATTTTTCCCAAGGGTGGCCGAACTTTTCCAAATCCATTGGTATGTAATATTTTAAAATTGCCTCTTACAGTTTTGCAGATTTTGATGATTGACATCTTGCGCGCACATCCATTATGGTAGTAGCCGTTCTAACTTTGATTTAGTACAAGCCTACAGTGCTTCATTAAAATCAAAGTTAGAACGGCTACTACCATAATGGATGTGCGCGCAAGATGTAAATCATCAAAATCTGCAAAACTGTAGGAGGCAATTTTAAAAAATCGCATACCAATGGATTTGGAATAAAATGCTCGTCATTTTTTGTCATTATGAAAATTTCAATAAAATGAAAAATTAAGTTAATAAATTTTTTTTTGTTATAAACAAATTGTATTTTTTAAAATTTTTTAACACCATGTTATTGTACATAAGAAACCATCAACCTCGCCCATTAACAATTTTTTTGTATGTCTTTCCGTTTTCGAGATAGCCGTTTCGAGCCAAAACTTCAAGGGGTGGTTTCACCCCTTAAACTCGAGTTACCGCAGCTATAAAAAAATACGTGTCGATTATTTTTGGCTGCTTTATAAGTGTACAAAGTTTCATCAAAATCGAAGCCGGACCGTTCGCGATGATTCCTTGTTAGTTCCAAATAATTTTTCAAACGTACACTATTCAATTGTTTAAATTTGTTCGTACAAGGAATGGTTACGAAAAAGAATAGATTTCTTTTACGAATACCTTGTGAATGTAAAAATGTGTTGATTTTAATAATTGTGAAACTTGACATCAAGAACTCGTGACCTGTCAGATTCGTCTTTGTATGACAAGGGGTTAAAGCATTTAAAGAATAAACTAATGGAGAGTTACATTAATTTTCAAATAGCGTTGACATATATTTATTAGTTTAAACCTGCGGAGGGCCCAATAATCCACTTGAGGGTTAAAAATTTCTTTCAGGCAACACGTTGCCTAAATCAAGTAGAATTGACGTGAATTAATTGTAACTGAACAAATTTATTAGAGCAAAATAAAATAAAATTAACTAACTCTATCAGAATCGTGTTAAAGGAACCGAAAATTTGCAAAGCATCACTCAGAATCGACTCCTGCACATTTTGGTTGTTTTTGGACTTCATCGTAATAAATTGCATCGTAAATAAAATCTAAACCCGGAAATTATTAAAAACCAACGTTCCACGTTTCGGGTTTGGAAATACAATAGATAAGATTCGCGATAAAGATAAGTAAATAAGAACTCTGTCGAACCGCGTTCGAATGTATCTTGGCTCGCGAAACACGGAAGCACGAGAATGCACAAACGTGCCGCGGTTCCGTTCGATCCAATTCATACGATCTCAATTACTGAATTCCACGTACTCAGCTTCATTTCGACTACGACTGCACAAAGGAAAATTACATGGAAAGTTGCCGTGCAGTTTCGATCGGAATTGCAGATGAGAAGGGGTGGTTTTCCAATAGGTCCATGCACACGTATAAATTCACTTTTCCCGGGCGCTACCCACCTTCGCCAAAGCACAAAGCGAATTAGGTCACTCGCGAAGATTCATTTTCCGTTGCCTTCTCGACGGTTACGCGCGAACCTGCGACCCGTACAATTAAAACACGAATACGAAGTGCCATCGACGAACAAAACGCCACGGAACGATTCAACGAAGCATGAACACACCGACATAGTACTCGAATTATATCGATGTATTACGAAAATTCCAATTATTGCACGGAGTGGATAAATTACTAAACCACTTTCGCTTTAGAGGGTTTTTGTACTATTTACAGCAATGTTCAGACAACTTTAAATTTTCGGGATAATTGCAACTATCGAGACACTGGTAAATACTTCGAACAGTATTTTCTTTTTTTTTCATAAATGAAATTATGTAGTATTATATTTTCTTAATTTCTTATAGACCTTTCCTATATAGTCTCTCCATTTTATTATCTATGAATGCACAGGGAAGGGGATGATTTTGTATCGAAGAAAATAAATTGAAAATCTGTGGAGTAAATTCGTTCCATAGGAGACTTTGTTTCCGAGAAAATCTTAAAATTTTAAAACTCATCGAGGACCAATGCCAGGCACTCTGCTATCCCCGGTACGCAAACGTGTATCAACACGATCTTAAAACTCTCTTTCGCAGTAAAATTTACGAAGATCTATTTACATGCACAAAGATCCATAACTTCGTTAATTTTCAGTATTCAAACGTAAGGTTTTACAGACACATTTCTCAAATAATACCCCATAAGAAAATGCAAAAAAAAAGAAATCTTTTGAAAGTAAAGTTGATAAGAATTACCCATGATACAGCCCCAATAAAATTGGGAGTCCACTCGGGGGGGTTGAAAGTCCCTGGTTCCATCGATCTCCGGAGGAGATAACCTGGATGGGTCCTCGAGATACTTTCGTCGAATCGATAAGCCCCCTGTAAGGGTGCAGAGGTGTCAAAAGTGACACAATAGAGGGCACGAAAGCGACGGGGGGGGGATCGGGATCGGTAGTCAGCTTTACCGATCGCATTACGGGGAACTCGATTACCGTGGAAAGAGCAAGTCGACCACGTGGCCCGTTACGTCGAGTGCGGGGGCGCCGCTTTGAAGTGGAGGAGGCTTCTTTTACGGCGCTTTAGCTCTTCTCAATCCACCCACAGCCCCGTTCGTCGCAGTCGTTGCCCCCCTACCCGCTCTTTGGTAACCGCTACGGGCGCGTTGTCTCTCTCGCCCGTTTGCCCTATATCTGAACCGCCCACCTATGGATGAGGAGCTCCGTATGAAAGAGGAACGTCCCCCGCTGACGTGGAACGCGGGGTAGGGGGGGTCGAAGCCCAGCCAGAGGGCCTTTGAAACAACAATGAAGTTAGCGTCTCTCGCTCGTCAGCGTCGGTAATGCACGGAATTTACGTCAAAGGGAATTCGAGCAAGCGGCGCGGCGGTAAGGACGTACCGTGGCCTGGAAAGAGAAACGGAGAGGGAGAACGACCCGGCTCGTTGCAATTTCGCGACCAGCAAAGAGCTAAAGGGAGGGAAGGGGAACAAGCTAGCCTCTAATGCCGCGAACCAAGGGGCTAACGGCGTTGGGGCGGGAGAAAAAAAAAAGAAACGTCGACGTGAGAGAGAGGGAGGGCCTCGAACCGTATCGGTGAAAACGAGAATCGCGTTCTCGATATTCTTGAAACGATAGAGCCTTTCGAACCGTCCGCTGTCGAGCCAGGGAACGGATGGAAGGACCGTGCGCGAATTT